CACTGAACCACCAGTGCAGTACTTGACTTTTCTCTTTTTCAATTTATTTGTAATTTAAGAGGTCAAACGGATCGTTACGACAATACTGTCACATTGCAGTCTCTGTTGTATTAAAAATGAGCTGTTCACTCTGAAAGGCCATGCATACTGCTATGCATCACCATTTCCTTCATTAACGTTGTACAGAAATGTTTGCTCTACTTGACAGATGTATTTGCAAAGGATTTCTAGATTGAGCTCGGGGACCTGGTTTTCTGAGATTTCGGTTTTCCAGAGACCCCTATTTCAGGAGTTTTGATGGAACATCTGTGTACATCACCTAAGATCGGAAATTCTTTCAGCTGCTCAAATCTTTTTCCAAATTTATTCTAGCTATTATGGTCGACAACAAAAATGAAAACTAAAGGTGGCGAACAATTTTTAGACCTACTGTGGGATTAAGTGGCGAAGTATTTAATACACAAAAGCCGCTGTCAAGCTTCGTTAAGTTTCCTATTAACAAATGTTGTAGAGCTTCTCAAGGCGCATCGAATGATGTATGAATGATTAGATATCCCTTTAGTTTTCATAGAGAAAAGTGATCAAGATTTCCCTTGGCATTGCCACGACCCATGGAAAAGTCTAGTATTAAACTCATAAAACCTGCTGCCAAGCTTCGTTAAGTTTCCTATTAACAGATATTGCAGAGCTTTTCAAGAGCTATCTTTCTATACTGAAGACTAGTTGCATCCTCTCTTATCTATGGGAGTAAATTGGCTAAAACATCAACTGTATTCACTTTTAGGTCTCGTTGGGCTCGTATTTGACCTCTAAAGGATTGAGCCAATGATACGTAGGGTTTGTTTAATCAGAATATTGTAGAGTTTTTCAAGGGCTGTTTTTCTATATCAAGCTTTACCGTAACTTTATATTAAATTTTGAGCAAAATCGTTTTTGTTAAACACCGATATGCTTTATGTACCTCCTTAGAAAAGTGATTTTAAGAAGTTTCGATAATGTTATAATGGTTGATATGCAGTTCAAAATGTGTAAAATAGTTTTCTCTACAATATGTGATCATAACGAAGTCGAAAAAGCAGTGGGCCGAAATCAATGAAAGCGGTCCCCCTCCTTTTACGCAGAAAACGCATGCAAAAAACTAAGTGAACTAACGCAAAATTTGATTACACGAGCGAAATAAATAAATTAATAATAAATTTAAATAATAAATTTTTGTGTAAAAAAATTTTGCGTAGTTCTGCGAGAGCGAACTGTTGCGTTATAACGCAAGAATGCAGTCGGTGTGTTTCCAAGGCAAGGATGAGTCATCGTGATGCTTCAGCGTTTCTTTTGCGTAATTTTGCAAAAAAAAGGTTATTTATTTTTAACAATATTTATGCAAAATAGCACCACAAAACGTTGTTTCGATCAGGATATCATGCCTGACTGATCGGTTTTGTGCAAAACAGCATGATCGCAGTTGGGAAATTGAATGTACTTCCTGCGTTCGCTTTCTTAGTTTTCTTGTGCTACAGATTCTTCAGATGAAAGGTTCGGTTGTAAATAGGAGCTAAAAAAACGAAAAAGCGTAATAAAAATGTAGTAACTATTTTCACTGACCAAACAAGCACGTATTATTTTTCGCGTACACCCATATCTAAAACACGTAAAAAAAAAGAAAAGCGATGAGTCATCCGTAAATCATGAGCATTTTTGCGTTATTTTGCAAAATAATCAGCGGATTGTATCCTAATGATATTTATGCAAAATTATGCAAAAAAATTATCAGATACCCAGGTCTAGAAATCGTAGTACGATCGTACCAAGATCGTATAAGATCGTACCACGATCACGATATAATAAGATTCGTACAGTAGGATCATACAAAACCGTATAAATTCGTGTGATACGATTTCATATGAATCTGATTGTACGATCTCCAGCTAATTAATGTGAAATCATAGCACAAGAGTCGTACAACTTCGTAATATCGGAATCGTACACTAACGTATGATACGATTCTGTCTGGATCGTAGTTCAAAATATTCGCGTTCTTTTCTTTTAGTGATTCGCACTAAAAGCATTGAAAACAGCGCAGGTTTGAGTTTACATTAACTGGTTTTACTTAGAGCAATAATAGGGGAACAAAACGAAGTTGGATGTTATTGCAGCACTTGAGCGCCAGCTGTCATTCTTGGTTGCGATTGCTCTGTAGTATTATCAAGTGGGACAAGAGAAACGACGGTTGATTTATATTTTTTGGAATACTTAGCAAAGAGATGCTATGCTGCGAACTTCCGAAAAAAAGTCGATGGAGGACGTTTTCACTTCAGTTTCAACACAGAGATTTTGTAGGGTGATTATGTTGCGGGTTTAGAAAAGCCGGCTCCGTATAACTCTACTAAGCATAGTTGAAGTTAAAAAATGGAATACTGATTTTTTTAAATAACTTATCATAACAGAAATTCCAAACATAGTTACACTGTAGCCTGCTATAGAGAGAAATAGAGTATATAAGGTACGTCAGTATCGTAAACGGCCATTTGTAGTTAGAGTGCTTCATGGCGTAGAGCTCAATGGATGCTTGCTAAAGAATGAACTTCTAACCAATTGATATTGTCTTTTTCTTGAATATTTCCTCGGTGATAAGAATTGTACTCGAAGATTTGTCCGTATGTTCTCTTGTGAGCATTTGTATAGACGAAAAAGAAGCTCGTGAAGAAAAGAAAATATATTTTCCTCGATTCCCAAACACTTCTGAGAAGCTATTTTTGAACTTCGTATTCGTTTTCTTCCAGATGGCTTTTTGATTGACAAATATGGATAATAATCTTACGGAAATAATAAAGGAGGATATTGAAGCAGATACTGAGAAAGCTCTTCAAAGATTTCTGTCTCGAAAAATAAAACGAAAACAAGAAACATTTGATATCTCGCGTTACATAATTCAGAATGAAAAACATAAATTCATTGATAATACAAACAACAACCCATTTACTGACTGCAAGTTCCGATTTCACGACACACCACAATTCTCAAAGTCTTCCGATTTTAGTTTCTGTTCCACACAGATGTATGATGAAAGCCATTTATCAGAAGTAGAAGAACATGTATTAGATACAGATGAATCAGATTTTGATACATTGAATACATCTGTTTATGCTAGTCAATCGTCGGACTATGAAAATGAAGATAACTTTGATCCAGCAGATGATCCACTACATTATTATACTCATTTACAAACAAACGATATCTGTATGGAATTTTTAAAATTATTACGTGACTCACAGATTAGTAAAACACAATCTGAACGTTTTCTGTCGTTCATCAAAACCCTTCTACCCTATCCAAATAAAATGCCTACATCAATGGAAAAGTTACTAACGATATTAAACATCACAAATTATTTTACGAAACGTATTGTGTGTATCCTATGTAAGAAGGAATTGAATAATAAACAATTAGTTTGTAACACTTGTACAACCGCCGAGTCGAAACACACTGCACACATTTATGATACAGATTTTTTCATTCTGTTATCTTTAGTCGTGTCAAGGTTATTGGTAGAAATAAACAAATACAAAGAAGAAATTTTGTCAACAAATATCAATGAAGAAAAATGCTATGATATACCATTTGGACAAATTTATCAAGATCTACTAAAACGTTTACCTAATGAGAATATGTTAAGTTTATTGTTTCACATCGATGGGGTTGGATTATGCAAGTCATCAAATTTGAAAATGTGGTTATTCAGCGCGTCCATCATCGAACTACCGCCTCACTTCAGAACAAGAAGACACAACATGCCACTAGTGTCGATTTACATCGGCCATACTGAACCAGATATTAATCTGTGGCTTGGATCCAGTTTTTTAGCATTAAAACTCCTCAAAGAAAATGGTAAATACTCTTAGTGGGTTAACAGTGAGGCATGCACCGAGCTCGAGTACTCGATGATCGAATGTTCCAATTTATTATCGAAACCAAAATATAAGACCATTCACCATTTTTTGAATAAAAGTAGATGAATATTGAACGAAAGTAGATGAAGACTCGCGGTTTTTGCTATTCGATAGCCAAGACTTAAGAGCATGTTTTCGTAAGCAGAAAATATTTGGAAATATTTTTCAAGAACCGATTTTCAAGAAGATCTCTGGAAAATCGTTTCATAACTGGAACATTCGACATAGCAATATATTGATTTCTTTTCATGAATAGATAGACTAAAGTATCCTCCATAAAACAGAACCTAAGCGAGAGCTTCACCTACCATGGTTATGCCGGAGTCGAGGTTTTCCTGGGAGCCCTAGGATTGCTCTTCATTTCAGTCAATGAATCTCAGCAATGCATGGAAACATAAGTTTCGACTATGCTGAATTGCGTGGGAATATTTACTTTAAAAAAAGATTTAAAATCTAGCGAAACTCAAGTTCTTCAAAAATTAGGGTTTTCCGCCTGTTTTCACTGATTATCAAAAAATTCACAATTCATTCAGAAAAGATCAGAGCGGGTCCAAAACTTCAGGATACAGTTAATTCTGTCCGCTAGACGTAATTACAAAATCGAAAAAATTAAAAAATGATGTTTTTGTCCTGAGGTTTTTTAGAAACCCTTTCGGAAAATCATAGGGTTTTATCAATTTTTTTCTTGTTAATTTCTTATAAACAGAATATAAAACAGCCCAGATACTGTATATTCTGAAGTTTTGGGCTCATTCTGATGTTTTCTGAGTGAATTGTGAATTTTTAATAATAACTGAAAACATGTTTTCAGGATTTTTCAAGATTTGTAATTTTTTCGAGAACGCTTATCATTCTCGCATTTCAACTCTTTTAGGTTTTCAGCTTGTGCGTATAAAATCATTATAAATATATCTCGTACTCTTTGAAATCATGAAGTGCCGATTAAAATGAACTGTCACTGGGTAGAAACAATACTACTTGAACGAACGCCTTTAATTTTATGAATATTTCGTTTTGTTCTATTTAGACTGAACATGATAAAATAGTTCGCAAACCCAATGAATTA